TCAAGACTGTCTGGGAATAGGAAAAGTATATTCTCAGAATCCCATAATTTCTAAAAGTTTTATTTTTATTTTATCAAAATTACCAGGAAAAAGGGCCACAAAATGATGTGATGCATGAAAGATTCAGGAAGAATAATTTGAAAATCAGGCTCATAAATTCAGCTTTCTGCAGAGCAGCTACTTATCTGTCTGCCTGCCTCCTGGGTACTTGAACAGTGGCATCTGGTTAGCTCTGAAGTTAATGACCATTTTCTATATGAATTATTTTCACAAAGATGTTAAAACCAAGTCCAGGCTCAAGGAAAAAGAAAAGGGAAAGTCATCTTGCTGTGACTGTTCTTTTATTTTGAGGTTTAGTTTGCAAGTGGCTAGTCTTCCTGTATAACCTGTGCCCTAAACATAAGTAGAGCTAAACTGATAATTTTTTTTTTAATTGCTACAATGGGCAGAAAATAAATTAATGCTTCAGTGGTTTCTTTATATATATCTAACATGTACCTTTTTAGATTTGTGCATGCAGAGAGGAATAAAGTTAAATATAAATATATATATCTTAATCAAGTAGTATCTGCAATAAGGACTACTTGAAGCCTTTTAAATGACTTCCTGATACATTGCCATTTTGCCAACCTCTGCAGGAAAAAAACCCTTATAGTCAGTCTTGCATTACACCCATAAAGGCAATTTTTTCCAGACTCAGAACCTTGACTCTGAAATTTTCCAAAAAGAAAATTTCAGTGTCAAGGTTCTGAGTCTGGAAAAAATTGGGGCTAGAGAATAGCCAGACACTCAAGCAAGAAATTTACCACTGGGTAGAAATCTCCTTTTACTTGCTGACTTACTGAGTAACATTTATGAAAATAAACTTAGCAGAATAGAGTGTATGTTAAGTTATCAGAATGGATGCTGCCTGCAGGCCATTGCAGTCACTCCTGCTGACATTATCCTGTTCCTATCAGACTGGCTGTGTAGCTCCCAGTATTTTGTGGTAGAGTTCTCCTTACAAGAGGAGTTCTTGCCGAAGGGAAGCTGCAGAACATTAAGGCAGGATGTCAACAGAGGGGCATCTCCTCCAGCAGTGTCTGCTGCTCTGTTTGGGGGGGTTGTGTTTGTGTCAGTGCATGTAATAAAAATTATTGTGCTTGCTGGTCTCAGGCAGTCTCTGCAGCAGAAACTTGGGGGTTCCCTGTATGTTCAAGGAAAGTGATTCCTGCAGATCACTGCCCACCATTGCTCCTCTGTGTCTGCACAGCCCCGTGCTCAGGCCCTGGGTGCTGCTGCACTGCAGCTGAGAGGTGAGAGTGCATCCTGCTGAGCCCTTCCAGGCTGGGTTTAATCTAATTAGCTGGGATAACAATGTTAGTGAAGATGTGATGGAATGAGCTTCGGTAAATAAATGTATGCTGATGTAAAAGCCTGCTGGAATCATCAGGACATCCCTGGGTGGCCAGCAACAACAATGTACAAATTTGAAAACCTCTTCCCAAGGGCTGCTGAAGCAACGGCTTGGCACTTGCTTCAAAGCCCCAAATCATCCCACTGATAGTTTATAGCTTTCCCTGTAAAACAATTTGAAAATATTACATAAGTTAACTGCTTGTCAAGATAAAATTATAGCTGGAAAAAGAATTTTCATTTTCTCCCTGGGGTTTCCTTTAGTCTTTAAAGATTTGCATGCATAGTCATCATGACTACAGCCAGTCTGTCCATGTTGTCTGCCTTCCACATAACAGTCACATTGCTCTTCTTACTGCTGCATACAGGGCTCAGGTACTGGCAGCCTGAGTCTCACTTGTTTGTGTTCTTGAATGGTAGAAGAGTAACACAAGCAGATGAAATTTGCTCTGGGTTACTGCACGTTCTCCTTTGAAGAGGAGACACCCCACTGGCATAACGAGAAAAATTAGAAAATCAATTCAGAAGTAGAAAAGGCAATTGGAAGACAAAAGCTGTCGACTGAAGCAAAGGACATTGACCTTTAAAGCTTTAAAATTCTAAGATAGTTATAAGAGGAAATAGGAAATGAAAAGTAGGCAAACATTATAGGGGAAAGATAGATTTATTTTTTTTTAAATAGGAAAATATTCTTGGGGTGGGGGAAAGATGGTTGAAAAGCATGTATTTGATCAGTTTACAAGGTTCACACTTCTGGTACAGCTTTATGACTCCTTTATTCTGTGAACAAGCATTGCTGGACAGGACAGGAGCATAGCCCTTCACTTTTCCTCTTGTATGGCTGAAAGACACCAAAAGTTGGCTGCAGCAGCATAAGGAGCAGAACCATCATCTCTCCAGCTACAACCCTTACACTTGGACTGCTCTAACTGGGCTGGAAAGCCTGTTCTGTGAACAAGCCCAGGTGGTGCTGTCCCAAATATCAGTGAGTATTGGCATTAGGGCTGCCCAGGGAGAAGCACAGCCAGGCTCCTGCACAAGCAAGGCTCGGTGAGTGCTGGGAAGGCGCCACCCTGGGCAGGGATCATTCACATGACATTATATCCATCCTGCTCCTACTGAGACAGGGGCAGTGGGGTTTTTGGGCTTGGAGACAAAACCCTGGGTGCCTTGGTTTGCCCAGTCCCTTCAGGACAGTAACAGAGAGGTGTCTTGAGTGTAAACATAGGATGGGAGTAAAGGACTCTCATTTCCTGCACGGCCTTGAACACCTCATCTCTCCTTGTTTCCTCTCTGTACAACAGGAACAATACAATTTATTGACCACACAGGGGGCTGTAAGGCTAAATTAATTAATATTAAAAACCTTTTGATTCTCTTAGACAAAAGGTTTTCTAGAAGTATGAAAAATAGCTATTTATTATCTACATTTTTGTCACTTTTTATTTATGCCCTATCAATTCTACTGCACTTTTTCTTTAGAATTATTTGCTTTATCTCATCTGCATGAAGAAGAAATTGATAACAACTCATGATGGCATAAAAAGTAATGTTTGAAAAGTCTGGTCTATATTTATTAATTTCAAGTGTACTTCCTCACAAGTAACATGTATATGAAACTTCTTGGTCAATGTCTTTTCTTTGGTGACTTAGCAATATGATCTTTTCTTTTTTATCCACTTTTTAAGGTGTCCACAAGCTCACTCAAATGGACGAGAGCATGCACTTCTGCTCTTACAGTTAAATTAACTTTTGTATCTTTGATTATATTTTCTATTTGGTCTATTTTAATCCTATTCCTCTCTTGCTGACTTTTCTTCTATTCGACAGCTTTTATTTCACTTCACCCTTCAAGAATCCTGAACCCACCAATGAAGAATCATTTCTATACACTGTCATTTCTATTTGCTATTTCTTTTTTTTTCCCCTCCCAGTGAGACGGGGGGGATGTGTGTGCAATGTGATGTGCTGGATATCAGTACAGTGCACCTCAGGTACACTGAAACATTTGACTTCACTTTATGTTGTTTCTAGAATGTATTTTCTTGCTCTTAGCTCTGAGCCACCACAGGAATTTGGCCGAATTTTGCCACATTTCTGCAGCACTGGTAGCCAAAGTGCTTCCACAACATCTGCTGCTACTGTTGTGTTCAGGAGCCTGCTGAAAGTGTGAGCTGTGAAGCAGATTATCCAACACCCAAATACTGGCTTGTCTGAAACTTTAGATAAGAATTGATTTATACGTATGTATCCAATCTGTAAAAAGTGATGGCACTGCAAAAAAATGAAATTATAGGTTGCATTTTAGGTAAATTCTATGGTGTAATCACTTCAAGTGAGTTCAAAGTGCAGTTTCCTGTACTTCATTCTCTATTCCTATCTTTTCTGCTCCTTACTATTTCTTAGATTAATTAGGATTAGCTTTTCCATGCCTCATTGCTGTACCCTAGTAATTTCCTGGATTTCAAAAATGCCATTGAAAATGTCTTTGTTAAAAATAATAAAAAGCTATTAAGCTAGCTTATTCAACATGCTCAAGTCAAAAGATATTTAGAATCATTAAACTGTAGTGGATGAATGGATTTTGTAGGAAGACAGCTTGTTCATTGGAATTTGTTGAGCTCTTCAGAATAAGCCAAGTTGAAGAAAAAATATATACTCGGTGACATTGAATTTATAAAATCTGAAGGGCTTTCTGATGAGAGCAAAATAGGATTTTCTCTGGTCTGTTTACAGTTTAGACCATTAAGACAAAGATTGACTGTAAATACCAACATAAAATTTTCTGAGGCCTGACCCATAATTCTACTTTGGAAGAAGGTGGGAAAAGAGGTTAAGAAATTCTAACACTAATTCTGGGCTTGCTTTAAATGCTGATTTATTTAATCTTACTATTGCTCTGTTTCTGTGAAAATCCTACCTTGCAATGAGTGTGACATCTCCTAATATTTATAATACCTTAAATAAAACTAGTGGCTAGGTTGCGATCAGAATGTGCCCCACAGGTCACCAGGTTCCTCTTACACCCGAGGGACAGCAGGGAGTGGGAGGTGTTTGTATCCCTGCACACTGTTTCCTCACCAAAGAACTGGCTTGAGCAGAGACTCATTTTGCCTGCTGACGGAGGAGGAGCATTGGTTGAGGCAGGAGATGAGTCAGGATTTCAGCTGAGCTCCTGGGTGCAGTGGAACATTTTCCCTTTGCTGCTGAGCGTGGTCACCTCCAGCTGCGGGAATGGGGGCTGGGGCTCTCCACCTCAGAGACCACAGCCCTGGAAGTGCTATGCTCCAGGCACAATTCTGTGTTTTGGTTCTGTAAATGGAAAATGTGATGATGGTTCATTTTGCTGAATTTGGATGTAGGCATGAAGGATGGCAAATTCAGTGAGAAAAGTGGCTCCATATAAATATTAAACTTTCTGCTCTTTGCTACATAGAGTTCTTATTGTGACAGTACTTCATTCTTTGCTTTTCTGGTTTTAGGGGCTTTTTAAATATTTCAGCAATATTTTATTCCCAAAATACTTCAAGAAGGTACAATTATTTAAAAAGTATTTTCAACTTCAAGTCAGACAAATTAAAATATCAGTTATCATCTCTCCACAGATTTTACCTGATTAGTGGTGGAGTTCCATTCATTATATGTGGGATTACAGCAGCCACCAATATCAATAATTATGGGATTGAAGGCAATGCACCATAGTAAGTACAAACCACTTTCATACCACTTTTAAGGAAAACAGATTGTTTCTGTTTCTTATCCAAATAAATGTACCTGACTTCATAAAGGGTACAGGCATGCAATTTGGGATGGTATCTGTTACAAAACTTTATTAAATATTAGCTGTGAAAGAGCAATGTCTTAATCTGGAGTTTGCTGCTTCACCTCCAGCAATTCAACTCCATTACTGGCAATACAATCACCTTTCATTTACAGAATTACTCTGCATTTACATCTGAATAAGTGAAAGATGTTAAAAATACCTAATGAATATCATATCTAATGCAGCTATTATTTATTTAAATATATTCATTTCATTATCTACCTTGATTTACCTTCTGGCAACTTAAAGCAAATTAAAAATAATTATGTAAGGACAAGTAAAAATCCCTTCCCCACTTCCTCCACTCCCATCCCTCCACTAAAACCCAAATATTTTGGATTTTCACCATCTGGAAATGTTCCAGTCACAATGCCTGGCAATCCTGTCATAATCCCTTCATGTCCTTGTGCGTAGGGAGGTGTTCAGCAGACCTCCACAAGCTCACCAGGCATCACATTGTTATTAATTACTAGTTCTTGGCATGAAGCTTGAGGTATCCATAAGTACATCTAGTCTTTCCATAAAAGCATAGCAGAAAGTGAATTAGACTGCAAAGTTAAATACAGTGTGTGTAACAGATCAGCATGGCAGTGACTGGCACACTAATGGATATTTTAGTACTCTGGCAGCACTAATACTCCAGAGGACATCACTCTTAGTTACTGCTTTGAGCATCTATTGTAACACATTTGAAACTGGTTATGTTCTGGGCACGAGAAGTGGCAGCCAAGGAGAATGGTTCATAAGTGCGCATCTGGCTCCTTAAAGACATTTTTATAGGTAATTGAAATTTAAATTCCAATAAGAAATCAGTGCATACCATGGCTAACTCAATGCTCTGCCTAGGGCCCAACACATATTTATATATTTATTCAAATTTATCCAATTAAACAACCAGTTTATAATCAACAGTGTATTCTAAAGCTCTATTATTTATGTTCATAAATACGACACATTTTTCATTTTGGTGCAGTTACTGGGGTTATACTTCTTTAATCATGTTAATGTAGCAAATCAATACCTGGTGCCACAGTGTGCACAGAAAACAAGGGACAGATGAGGAATGGTTATAAGACTGAGTAAAAAGTTTCTAATTCAATGGCAGCATAGTGAGTTATATACCTTATTCATTTTTTATAGTATTAGTAAAGTAAACGTAGATGCACAAACTTGAACGTCTTTTTACCAAATAGATTTTGTAAGTGATCCACAATGAGATTCTACTTGAAATAACAGCATCCCATGAGAGTGTTCCACTTGGGAGCATTCTGCTCTCCACTTTGCATCAAATACTCAGGGTTCAAATGTATTTCAAGTATTCACCTAGCTTTGTGTTCTCTACTAATCCAATTAAATGTAGGTGGTTATTTACCTCTGTTTTCAAAATATTTTTTAGGGGATCTTTTTTTGTGCCTAACAGTAAATTGTGTACTCTTTGGAGTGTTTCTAAGTTCATTAATACTTGTATGTATGTATCTGTTTAAGATTCAGATATAAAAAATTCAAAGTCATTATTCTGCAGTTTCTTGCTGTAAAGTCCAGTGGGACTTTCTCTATTTAGCTGAGAAGTTCTCAGCCTGGGAGAAAAAAGTCATTCTGCCCTTTTTATAGTAACTTGTAGATAATTCCTGGCTTGACAAGAATCTGATATCAGAAGTTTCCTCACTGGAACTGGAGGAACTGCAACTAATCACACATGCTTAAATGAATATGAAGTGTCACACAGTGTCACTTTTAGAGCTGGAATCATCATGACAGATCACCTGGTCTGTCTTTCTGACCCAGTGGGAAATTAGCTATATCCAAACCATTCCTGACAGTTATTTATCTGAGGTACTTTAAATGCTCCCGTAATGGATAGACCACATTTCATTCCAACAGCGTATTATCCTAATTGTCCTAACAGCTAAGAAACTTTAAAAAAAAATCTAATTTAGATCTTTCTTGCTGCAGTTTAAGCCCATTACTTTGTGCCCAAGTCCAAGAGATAAAGTAATTTCTCTTTCCAGAAATCCATGCAATATTTAGGATATAAGAACCTAGTAGCAGCTGTACTAGGCTACACTGCCAGCTCAGATCTCTGTCTGTAACCATGGCTAAAAGCAGATCATTGAGAAGAGTCAAAATGAGGCAAATATTCCTTCTCCCTCTAACCCATGTTCTGCCAGTTTCCATCTAGGATTTCATTAGTGGTTTCTTCTCCCGTGTTTGTTTGATCAGATCATTCATACTTAAGACAATCCTGTCAGACTCATGCTGGCCTGGGAGCTACTTTAAGCTGCTCTAAAATGGTTATGGTTATTTTAAAGGCTAGCAAACCATGGTCATGCTACAATGATACTACGCTACTAACATATCACAAAGAGATAATCAGTTTCCCTAATTTTTCTGAGAACATACAAATTGACATGGATGAACTCCCAGGAACTCTAGAAACAGTACAGAATTCAGAAATAGCATATATCTTTGAGGTCTGCTCACTGCAGAAAGTGGTTACAGTTCAACTGGAAGTATTTTATCCTTTCTTGGTACTCAGGCCATTCTCTCACAAGAAGAAAATCCTGTAAGAGCAATCTTCAGGCTTAAGAATTTGTAGCAATGTTCATCGAAACAACCCACTGAAATCTGTACATTTCTATTGCTCACATGGAGTGTATAAACTATGCCTCATTTGCTTTTTAATCAAAGTATTAGTGCTGACATTTTTAATAGTAGAAAAAAGAGTTGACATAAATGGTCTTACACTTCACTGCAATTCCGGAGTCTAAACTGACCTACATTTCTTGGAAATTTTTCAGTTTTAATAATCTGTAAATTATACCACATATTCTATTCTATTTAAAAATTAGAAAGTGATGCCCTCAGCTTAATTAATATTAAAGACAGGTTCCCTCTCTCCACAAGCTGAGCTTCTGATATACCATTGTGTCATACTAGTCAGACAACAGTGAGTTGTCCATCACATTTAATATGGACTCTGAAATGTTCTTGACTCTCTCTTGTTGTTTTCAGCTGCTGGATGGCCTGGGAGCCCAGCCTCGGTGCTTTTTACGGGCCAGTGGCATTCATTGTGCTGGTGACCTGTGTTTACTTTCTCTGCACGTACGTGCAGCTGAAGCGCCATCCCGAACGCAAGTACGAGCTGAAGGAAAAGGCAGAGGATCCGCAGAGAATGCCAAGCACTGACATGGGCCATGGTCACATTACAGACTCTGTGTCCGTTCCCCAGGCAACCTGCCCCATGATTTCTTCTTCCTTGTTGGAAAATGAGCATTCATTTAAGGCTCAGCTTCGAGCCGCAGCATTCACTTTGTTCCTGTTTACTGCCACTTGGACCTTTGGAGCACTTGCAGTGTCTCAAGGCCATTTCTTGGATATGATATTTAGCTGTCTTTATGGAGCTTTCTGTGTGACCTTGGGGCTTTTCATCCTGATCCATCACTGTGCAAAACGAGATGATGTGTGGCATTGCTGGTGGTCCTGTTGCCCATCCAAAAGAAACACCTACTCTGTGCAAGTCAATGTGCGCCCAAAGGTCAACGTCAATGGCGACACCCAAGTTCACGCACCTTGTCTGCAGGAATCTCCGTGTCCCAACAAGTCAGCTGTGTTCAACCACCCAGCAGCCAGCCACTGCAAACTCACCAACCTGCAGGCAGTGCAGAATCACGTTAACTGCCTGTCGCCCGTCACGCCGTGCTGTGCAAAAATGCACTGTGATCAGCTGCTTGACGATGAAGCTCACATTCACGTCCACAACGAGGGAACCTTCAGACCCAACATGCACATTCACAGATGCCTGAAAAGCAGAACTAAGCCACGTTACTTCAGCCGGCACAGGTCTGCGGGGGAAAGGGAGTACGCCTACCACATCCCCTCGAGCATCGACGGCAGCATCCACAGCTCCCACACAGACAGTCCCCACAGCACGCACGAGAGCCAGGCGGGTCACAGACGGGCCTGCTGCTCCAAGAGTGACCCCTACCCCACCGTCAACCAGCCCGAGAGCAGCGACGCAAGTACTGTCATATACAGCTGTGGTAAAATGCCAGACAGTGACTCTGTGCACCACCCAGCTCACTTTGAAATGCACCCACGGACACAGTCATTGCCATTTAACACCACAAATCACAACGGGATTCTCAAGGGAAACATGCACGAAGCCATGATATACAGCTCAGATAGTACGGGAAATATCAAAACTGGCCCTTGGAAAAATGAAACTACTGTGTAGTTCACGGGTCACCATAATGTGGTTTTTTGCCCTAAACCATCATTATCTTTGGTTTTATTCCAAAATAAATATGGTGATATGTTTGCGTAGCTCATCAGTAAATTGTACAGCTTTTCATTTTTTTTGTAAGTGTCAAAGAAAGAGAGATAGTGACAGTTTTAAAGTGAAATTATTTTTAAAAGAAAGTTATAAAGTTATTCTGAAAGGTAATGAGAAAATGAAGTCTAGAAAATTGAATAAGAGAGGCAATATCCTTTTGTCTTACAGAATGGCATTTCTTTAGAAACATAATTTTCATTCATTGTTTTCACTTTTTTTCTGTAGTAACTTCAGACACTTTTATAAACATATCAGCATCCTAAACTTTTACTTATTTATTTTTGTAGAAAAATAATATTACTGTGCCATGAATTTTAATCAGAAGTGGCTATGGTAGAAATGATAAACAGGATTTTATAAAATTGCAGCTTTTTAGATATACAAAAGTGATACTGCCTCTAAAAACCTTCTGTAGCATATGGCCTGTAAAGTCATGTAATGTACAGTCTCTGTTCTGTCCTTTTTCTTGTTGGAGAGAAGTGCTAGGTAATGTCTCTGTTACATCTTTGGTGCTGTATTGGTTGTATTTTGCATGACATATGTCAGGATATACCATTTGCTGTTTTATAGTGTTACATGTGTTTAAAAAAAAGAACAAAAAAAGTGTGGTACAAGGCTGTGACAAACCCTATTGATATTAATCTAGAGCATTATAAATCTACAGGAAAAAAAATCACTCTGCACTAGTTTAAGTGGCACAATCCTTTGTATAAGGTTATATGATAGCTTTGATAAGGGTCCACTCTAATGTCTTTACAGAGCATGCACTACTCATTGTATGTGGCACTGTGCAGTGTAATAGCAATTGTCTCAACAGATTTTACACTTCTTTGTAAAGTATGCCTTTTAAACAAACCTGTAAGCTGTTCCACGTTAACCTTTCCACATCTGTTAAGGCAGAGCAGTTTTATCATTAACTCTTTGAGGACTACAGTTATTTTCTTAAAGTAGCTTATTCTAGTTCAGAGATACTGTATATATGATATTGTCTATTTAGTTACATGATCAATGTAGTCCAGAATTGTCAAGAAAAAGGAAGTTCAGTAATTTTCTAAAAACACCTTCTTAGAATCCATCTATTAATTTCACCACTTGCTTTCTGAAAATCCATTTCCTCCCCTTGCAAATTTCAGATTGTCTTAATCCTTTAATGCAAATTTGACCTTCAGAGAAGTTCTTTATGTTCATGATTTCTGCTGAACTGTTGGGCATTCCAGGGTCAGTAGCATTCTCTATTAACAAGGCTCTTGGCAAGATTTTTTTCATATTTCCATGAACATCTGGACACAAAGCATCAACTCACAGTACAGAACTGCATCAGAATGATCCCTATATGAAATAAAACTGCTTTTTACAAATAGGAGGGGTGCAGAATAATAATAGATTTCAGAAAGTGAATGGGAGCATAGAGCTGTGAGAAAAATGTCTACAGTGGAAAGTGAACACTGGATCCAGAAATGAGAGAAAAAGCACAATTCTGTACAGCCACACAAGAAAGTTTGCTGTGATGTCTTCACACAGACTTATGTAATTGCTTCAGAGAGGAAATAGAAAATTCCATTGAGAGACCATCGGTCTGCGATTCTCTGTGTATATGTGGCAGAAATCTTCACTATATTTAAACTCCATATTTTTCTGTTATTAGCAGTTTATTAGACTCTACCTTCTTTTTTTCAATATGTAGGAATAAATTTCCTAATAGTGTACATAAAGATGACAATTATAATTGTTAGAATGTTATAAAAACATGTAAGTCAGATGAATGTGTTCTGCAGTGTTGCAGGTGGGAATTAGTACTCAAAGGGTTAATGCTCAGTATCTGAGTGCAAGAAATCTTGTTTTTCTGTATTTTTGTAAATTTGAAATATATATTGTAAACTCCAGCAGTGCAATGTATCCATCTCAGATTGTGTATTTTTAAAAGGTGAGCAAGAAGAATGCACTAGGTGGTTGTCAAGTTTTAAGCCAATATTCAACAATTTCATGACTGCTTCTTTAGCTAATACAAAAAAAAAGACAAAACACTGAGCTTTATTATGTATATGCTGTATATGCTTGAACTGTCTCTAAACTAAAATACAGTATTTTTCTTTGTTTGCATACTGAAATATTTTCTGTTTCATGATTGTTTTCTTTTAATATTACTTTTACTCATTCCACATAGACAGTGACCCTAAATAAGCATAGACATAATGTGAAATCCACTTCTCTGTGTCTCAGCACTCTGTATATGTATATTCTGTAACAGTAAAATTGTAGGAAGTCTGTAGACCATTATGCAAAATATCTCACACACACACACACACACACACACAGAGCCAAGATGAAATACTCACTCTGCAAGAATCCACTCAGTAAGCTCCTTTATTCAGCTTGTGTTTTAATAATCTCTGTTATTTTGTCTGAGAGGCCAATTCCATCTTCATAATGGTGTACAAAAAAGTAAATAGGTGCTGCTTTCCACAGAATATCTCTGGAATTCAAAAGTAAAATATTAAAACACTTTTCTTATTGTGTTAAAAATTAATTTAGTGAATATTTCTGGGTTAATTTGGAAGAGATGTGTTATGCAATAATCTGTTTGCATATTATTTTTCAGAAAATATACAGTATTATATCTACAGAGTAGGAGACAAGATATTAAATAAATATAAAAATGTTTTGTAACATCAAATTTGACCAAAATGCTTTTTATGCTTTTGACATTTTTTTTTTCTCCTTAAGATAAATGAGATAATTTCAATGCTTTGGAAGTCTGGTTTTGATTTATTGTGGGTTTTTGGTCAATTATAGTCAGTGAACCATTACTACTTTACCTGATTTTCTTCCCTATAAAAATAAAGTCAATGAAATAACCAGAGTATGAGATATATTGTCCTAGTAAATTCCTCACGGACACACATAACACATTTAAAAATCAGTTTTAGTTTTGGTGATTCATTGATGATAATAAAATGGTTGAACAGATTTTACTGTTCACTTTCTGTCTGAGATCAATCAAGAGGAATTTTTTCCAAAAAAAAGATAATTTTCAGAGAATGATGCAATCAACAGAAATCTGAATAGCTGCTACCAGAATAAAAATATGCTCTTGCTGTGGTGTTGTTCTCTGCATACAGAAATTCCAGTTTTCATGACCGAATTTGAAGTCACATAGGTTGTTTATGAGAAAACTTCCTACCCAGCCTCATATAATGAATTTGGGTGTCAAAATAAAGCATACATTTTTGCACATTATGTCTGGTCACCTGTGTTGTTCCCAGGAACCCGCTGATTGTGGCCGCATTGATGGGACTGGGCAGTCACCGTCAGTGCTCATGAGCAGCTGCTCTCCTCCACACACAGCTGCCTGCCTGCTGCTCTGTCAGCGCCCTGCCCTGGTGTTAGCCCACCACGGGAGCCTCACTGGGGCTGCAGAGCATTCATCCTGCCTGAACCAGAGCAAAGTCTGTGCTTAACACAAAGTCAAGGCCACCTTTGATGGACCACACAGGCAACTGGGCAGCCTCAACTTGAACACTAAGCAATGAAGGCAGAAAAATGTAATGCAAGTGGATTTAAGCAATTTTAGGTCCTCCTCCCTCCATCTCTCTAAAGCACCTGCCTAGTAAGTCTACTGCCTACAAATAGCTACCAAATCCAGACAAACCTAGGCAAAAATCAGCAGCTGACCTAAAATTCTTGGTTAGCTGAAATGAGTGAGCAGCACAACCTAGTTAACAATCAGAGAAGCCCAAGCTGGAGAAAACCTCTTTGGATGCTCTGTCACAAAGATGTTTCAGTTGGTTATGTGTGAAGACATGAAACTAAATCATGTCTGAAGATCTGAAATTGCTCTTGTGTAGACACTGTTAAGGCTAACAAAGCTGATTTCAACTCCTCAAATTCAGAGGTAGCTTCCACTGTAAATTATATGCCTTTTCACAATGAAGAGATTATCTGACATTTCACTATTTGGGAAAAAGAAAGTTGTCATACCAATCAGGCTAGTAACATTTTTATCATAGGATTTTCTTTGGTGGAAACAAGAAAAAGGAGACCACCTGTACTCCCAATGAGTTTTTGCTGCCTATGAAAAGAAATGTCAGGCTGATGAAGATATTGGCAGCTCAGCAGCTTCCTTGCCAGAACATAAATTCAAGTTCCTGTAGGAGCATCCTCCAATTCAGAAAGAAGCTGTAGAACGCAGCTGGATCAATCAGAATTCATTGGCTGAGTTTAAAGGCTGCCTGGCTGACTTCAGTTGAGCAACTTCAGTAGTAACTTGGTGCTCTAGGCAGCTTTTACTTGCCTAGTTAACTCCACAAGGAAATGAGCTTTTGGGTTGGCTGGTTGGGGGTTTTTTGCTGCGCCCAGCTAACTATTTTCTAATTAGCAACTGAATAGCTAAGAAGAAAACTTACTCTACAAATTACCTTAACTATAAGCCATGGATTTTTGGTTCCTTTTAGGGGGTCTGTGAAGGTGCAAGTGAATCCCTATTCCCTTACCTGACCAGTCTATTACCTGAGTTTTTAAGGGAGCCAAACAAGCAAGTATCAGTGAATTCAGGTCAATATAAGAGGGCTCACTTCTCTGCAGGGAGGGTTGAAATTTGCAAATTCTAGAGCAATTCAACCTCAACAAATATCCTGCCTTGAAGTTGTGCAGCTGGCCATGCCTCTGAGGTAAGGGGTTCTTTGTAAACATGGTGTCTGCATACCCTATAGGTACTGCTGTCTCTTTACATTTTGATCTGTTAGAATTGTGTAGTGCCTTGCAGTCTGAACAACAGAATGAGTGACTGTTCCCATCAGCCCATCACTCTGCTCCAGCTGTTTGCCTTAACCTGCAGCACACTGCCAGGCAAGATTCTCCAGCACAGCCAGTGTTTTCATTCATTCCTAGATTTGCTTCCCAGGTACTCAATAACACCTGAGGAAAGCAGCAGGAAGAGTTTATTTTGGGACTAGGGGGAAATTCTGGGAGAAGAGAAAGCAATAAAACACATTATTCATATTCTTCTCACACCACTTTTGTTAGCCCATTTGTTAGTGAGCTGGAAGCAGTTACAGTCACTTATTCCCTGATTCTTTCCATTGCAAGACCTTGTTCTCCACTAATTAGAACATAGCTGAAAGTTAAGCTTTTAGCTTGATTTATGCCCTCAGCAATTACTGCCCTCAGATGGATGATTTTACAGAGTTCAGCCAAAGCAGCTGCAATGTTTTCAACAAAGAGGCTTGATGAAAGGACGTCTGTCCACAATAACACCTTTCAGTGATTTTGTAATAGTTCTGTCTTCAAGGCCCATTATTTGAAAACTTTGAGCAGTATGGCTATTATAAGAAGAGAGCATCTCTTGCTGCTTTTATAAAGTAAGTGGTTTGGTACGGATAATTTAGCCACTAAAAATATCACCATATATTACTCTGAAATGTCTTCCTTCTTAGTCTGTGTATGCCCCAGCTGGGACCACACTCACTGATGTTGTGCTGCTGCTGCAAGCCCTATGGGCTCTAAAGGACCAGCCCTATAAATGATCCACTTCAGCTGCCCTCAGCTAGGATTAGGATTGAAAACTGGGGGCCTTGGTTGTTATCTTCTCTGCTAAATGCTTCAGTTTGCCTCCCCTTCAGAGGCACCATGATGGAATAGAAGAGTGGTTTGTATAAGGGAAACAAATGCTGGGCTTGAAGAAATCAAGAAGAGACTGATCTTCTAGTACTGGATCAAGCTGAATGGAGCAAGCTGATCAGCAGGAGAGAGGTGGGTGTGCGTAGGGAGCTGCAACATGACTTGGGGACTGGAAAGGAACAAACTTTAAAAGAGAGACTTGGAGGCTGGAAAAAAACTGGGACCAAATTGGTCGTTGGGGTAGAGGAAGAGGAAGGTGAAATAATGAGTCTTTCCAAGCTGGATGTGAAAACCAAGCTTTGTGACTCCACTGCCATCAGTAAATATCTGAAAACCTGCTAGCAAAATGGCTATTCACTTGTAATATTGTCCTCATACAAAATGACTGTATTAGTGCTGTCAGCTATTCCAGTAATGTGTCAGAAATCTGGGTATTGAATCAGAGATCCTCAAAGCTGTTGATTAACCAGATATTTCATGTTCCACATGACAGAATTTCTGTATTTTTAATGTCTTTTGAAATCTAGATGCTATCACAAAAAAGAAAACTGATTTCAAACAGTGTGAATGAAGCTGAAAGTCAAACACACCAAATTGAGGAACTGTTAGAATTAAGGCTGTCTTTGGAACCTTCATTCACAGCTTCAGTCTGCCTTTTGATGTTGTTTTTCAGTATTTGAGATCATGCTGCTTTCTAACACTTTGGCTTTGATGCTGCACATTTAGTGTTCTTTAAATGTGCTTTTGTGTACATCTAGAGCTAAGCCAGCCATTTCACTGTAAGCTTTCTTGTCTTTTTCTTTTTTTTTTTTCCTGGAACTTTTAGAGAACTGGTTCTTAGAAGAATATTGATGTTGAAACTCTCTGGTAACACAAATTCTGCTTTTCAAATCTTCCCTGTGCTAAATACTAAAATGGATGAAGTGGAATGAAAGACTTTCCACTGAGCTTCTGCTTGTTTGTTTGGGTTTTTTTCGCCAGCTCTGGCCACTGAGGGATGGACCCACCTTGGTGTCTGGCACTGTGCAGTGGCCTCCTTCAGCCAACAGCTGCGCTTGCACAGGGAGAGGTTCACTGCAGGTTCAGGTCACTGTACAAAGGTCATTCTGCTCTGAGCTCCAGGAAGGTCTCTCTCCTTCAAACCCACACCTCCTTGCTAACCCTGAGCCCACTGCCCAAGCCAGAAGCTGGGAAGTCCCAAGTCCCCTTGACAAGGTGGCATGAGAATGCAACATCAGCATGGAGGGGTGGTTTCTCTCCATCTGGAGTAAAACATACTGAAACCTTCTCTGTGTTCCTATATATGAGAACTAAAAAGCAGGGAGGAGAGTTAAATGACCAGCTAATCTCTGCTAGGATAATAAGGGGAATAGCTTAAGTGCTGCAACAAACAAAACAAACCCCCAGCCATTCTGAGTCAGTATGGAAGCCGTAATTCCAGCATTATAACAATGTTGTATTCCACCTGACAGCACAGCACAAGCAATGTGACACCCAGTCAAGGGCTATAGTACATTCAAAGTAACTACACTTCACCACAATGCTTTTCCCCTGGATAAAAATAAGTTGTACACAGTTGTACCATGGAAAATTTTCTGCATCTTTTGATACACTGGTGGGCTGTCTTAGATTAAGGACCCACTTAGTGTGGACATGCACTTGAAATGGTTTTGTACTATTGGAGTGAAAAGAGGGAAAGTTACTTAGTTTTTTTTCTTTTTAATTACACAAAAAGTCAATCATTGGTGTTACACTGAGATGTTATTTTTCTTCAGTATTTAGATCACACAGAGTCAGAGAGCTGCATAACAGAGCACTACACCAAAAGTGAAAAACACCCACAGGAAAAGCAGAAAAAATCCTCTTACTATCAGCATTTCTCAACTTTGTCTGTAAGGGAATGATTTCAGATCATGCAATCTGCTTCATTAGCCTGCTCATCTTCTCAGTGTGTTATTAAGGTTCAACTTGCTTAACAAAACCAGGAAGGTCAGAATATGCCAATCAAATCTGGAATGACTTAAAGAGTCTGTGGTATAAGTGGTTTACATATTTCATTGTAGGTTGATGTGGGGAAACTGCTGATACAGACAAAACATACAGGTTATAATTTCAAAGGCCCTGGAGCTGTAGGATGCAAAAATCTTTAGCAAAAGTCTTTTTCCTTAGACAAAGTAAGAAGAAAATATCTATGTAGGAAATAGGAGTTTTCAATTTAAACCAGTGAAACAATGAAAGAGACTGACAAAGAGCATTTTGAACAGCTCAGCACAGGCTTTCCTTCCTTGTGCAACCACTGCTGGATGTAAGGAAATGTTTAATTTATGCAGTCCTTAGTAAAACTTTTTTCC